CTCCCGAAGTGTTGGGATTACAGGCGTGAGCCTCCATGCCTGGCTTTAGGTCTACCAGTTCTAGAGGCTGGGAAGTCCACTGTCTGGTAAGGGGCTGATTCTTGGCTTATTAACAGATAGCTGCCTTCCCACTATATCCTCACATGGCCAAGAGAGAGCACACCCTAGTCTTTTTCTCTTCTTTTAATACAAACACGAATTCCATCATGGGGGCTTCACTCTCGACCTTATCTAAAGCTAATTACTTCGTTCTGGCCCTACCTCCTACTACCACCCCATTAAGAGTTACGATTTCAGTGTGTAGTCCATGACACCATGGAATATTGATTTGTATAAAATGTTTGATTTCAGACCAGGTGCAGTGGCTGACACCTGCAATCCCAGCACTTTGGGAGGCCAAGGCGAGTGGATTACTTGAGGTCGGGAGTTTGAGACAAACTTGGCCAACACGGTGAAATCCTGTCTCTACTAAAAATACAAAAATTAGCCAGGTATAGTGGCACTCGCCTGTAATCCCAGCTACTCAGGAGGCTGAGGCAGGAGAATTGCTTGAACCTGGGAGGCAGAGTTTGCAGTGAGTCGAGATCGCGCCACTGCACTCTATCCTGGGCAGTAAGAGTGAGTGACTCAGTCTCAAGAAAAAAAAAGGGAGAAATGTCTGATTTCAGACAGCCTGGGCTACTGCTCACCCGGATGCCTGACACACTCTGCTTATCAAGCCCTGTGTTCCCCATAGGTGCAATGCACAGTCCCAGACCTCATAGGGAACAGAGGCTCAGCTAGCTCTGGGAACTGGGACCCCATGCCTTCTACCCCCTCCTTTGTCCTATTCAGAGCTCTGCCTTCTGCTTAAAAAGCTAAAATCAAGCATTAGCATTTAGCATTGCTACCAGATTAAGGGGCTAAAGTCAACTAAACTGAATGACCAGCAGTGATACTCAAGTACTATATCGAGAGCCTTGGGTAAGACACTAAAGCCAACTAAAGACCCAACTAAAAACTCCCTAAGCCCTAGGGTGGACCCCCTTGCCAAGGAAGAGCCAAAAGCCACACGCAAAGGATACCTGGTGGATTTGACAAACAGGTCCAAGTTGGGGGAGGGGCTTGAGGCAGGAGACGAAGTCATGGAGGAGGATGGGCATGGACCTGGGGGCCTTTTCTGCTAATGCTCAGAAAATCATTTGGCATGTGGCAATCCCAAAGAAATCAGTATTTCTGAGGACTTCCTTCGGTAAAGTTAAATGCCAACAGGACTCGTGACTTTTCACTTAATAACCAGTTAATGAATTAACAAAGTGTTCCCCTTTTATGTACAATAAAGAGGCTATTGGTTGAGTTGCCTTTTAACTGATTAATTAATGGGTGGATGTCCCGGCTCCATGCCCACTTCAAAGTTAAACACCCTGGAGTCCCCATTCTTTCCCCCAAGAACACAGTGTTGTTTGATCCACTGCAAAAGCAGAAAAGACTGTCCCCAGCAGCCTTGAAGCATCCATGTGTCATGGGGTACAGGGACCTGAAACCGTCCCAAAGATGCAGGGAACTGGGAGACCCTCAACCCTTCAAATGGAAGAAGAGGCTCTGCCCTTTCAACTATGAACAATCTAAAATAAAACGACAGTTTTACAGAAACTCAGAAGGTCCTGAAAAACCCCTAAGGTGCAATCTCTGAAGCCCTTAGGAGCTGCTTTTGAAATTAAGACCTTAATAGATTTTATTACCAAGAAAAAGGATGCCTGGATCTTCTGCATTGCTGCCTCTACCCTCCCTGTTGAGCTTCTCTCTAAAAAAGTCCAATGTGGGCCGGGCACGGTGGCTAATGCCTGTAATCCCAGCACTTTGGAAGGCCGAAGCGGGTGGATCACCTGAGGCTAGGAGTTCGAGACCAGCCTGGCCAACATGGTGAAACCCCTGTCTCTACTAAAAATATAAAAATTAGCCAGATGTGGTGGCAGATGCCTGTAATCCCAGCTACTCAGAAGGCTAAGGCAGGAGAATCACTTGAACCCAGGAGGCAGAGGTTGCAGTGAGCTGAGATTGCTCCACTGCTCTCCAGCCTGGGTGACAGAGCAAGATTTTGTCTCAAAAAAAAAAAAAAACGTCCAATGTGGCTGATCGAGGGGTGGGGGATTCCCGCATATTCAAGGGGCTGCTGTGATCACTTAGCCACAGGTAGTCCCTTTTTAATTCTGCCCAAGTGGACAGCCGTGCAGCACGTGTTTCCTGGCCCACCTGGGCTAAGGCTGTAGAAAACGCCCAGTTTCTTGGAGCCCATCATCCTCGAGGAGTGTATAATCCTGGGAGGAACATAAGATGAACATATTTGGGATCATTAGAGGGCAGCACAAGGAAGTTATGAAGGGGGTGGGGAGGGTGATTGTGTGTGCATGTGTGCATGTACATGTGTGTGTATCCACCTGCACCCCAAGGTCTATAGGTGTGCACTCCAGATAAGTGTGCACAATTTGGGAGTTGTCCATTATTTCACAACGTCCATTCTTTGCCTGACATCTGACCGAGGTTGTAAACCAGCAATCCTCATACATATGTGATTTGTTAGAGATACAATGTGGTATGGTCTTGTTTTCGCTTTTTTGTTTTTGGGATTTTGGGGGTTTTTTAAGAGACAGGATCTCAATGTGTTACCTAGACTGGAGTCCAGCGATGCGATTATGGCTCACTGCAGCCTTGAACTCCTGGACTTAAGCGATTCTCCCAGTTCAGCCTCCCGAGTTAGCTGGCACTACAGATTCACACCACTATGCTCAGCTATTTAATAACTTTTATTAATTTTTTTTGAGACAGAGTCTTGCTGTGTCGCCCAGGCTGGGGTGCAGTGGCACGATCTCAGGTCACAGCAACCTTCGCTTCCTGGGTTCATGCAATTCTCCTGCCTCAGCCTCCAGAGTAGCGGGGACTACAGGTGCGTGCCACCACACCCAGCTAATTTTTGTATTTTTAGTAAACATGGGATTTCACCATGTTGGCCAGGCTGGTCTTAAACTCCTGACCTCAGGTGATCTGCCAGCATCGGCCTCCCAAAGTGCTGGGATTATTGACGTGAGTCGCTGCGCCCAACCATTTTTAAAAATTTTTTGTAAAGATGAGGTTTCACCATGTTGTCCAGGCTGGTCTGAAATTCCTGGCCTTGAGCAATCTTCCCACCTGGGAGGATTACCCAGTGTCATCCCAAAGCACTAGGGTTATGGGTGTGAGCCACTACACCCAGCCCACTTTTTGTTATTCTTATTTACTTTTACTTAATTTTACTTTTTATTTTGTTGAGACAGGGTCTCACTCTGCCACCCAGGCTGGAATTCAGTGACACAGTCTTGGCTCACTGCAACCTATGCCTCCCAGGCTCAAGTAATCCTCCATCCTCAGCCTCCTGAGTAGCTGGAACAACATGTACACATCACCATGCCCAGCTCATTTTTGTATTGCTTGTAGTGACAGGGTTTCACCATGTTGCCCAAGCTGGTCTTGAACTCCTAGACTCAAGCAATCTGCCCACCTCGGCCTCCCAAAGTGCTGGGATTATAGGTGTGAGCTACCACCTTCAGCCTTTTGTTAATTAGTAGTTTCTAACATTTCAAGATCAGGAGATTTCACGTAAAAGTCAGGTATCCTATTTCTCTTGAAACATGAAAGATCTGATATTCCAGGTTCACATTTTCACAAAGAAGCACCAAGCAGCTGGAGCGAGGCAGTAGCTGCCCTCTGTAGATGGGCCATGCGCTATGGGTTCTCTGCAGATCCCACCACTCCCTAATGCTCTACGTTCATCCTACTTCCTTCCCTCTTTAAGGTTACCTATCTGTGCCTTCTAGATGCTGGAATTTGTAACTTCCATCTGGTAGAATGAAGGATAGTGCCCAAAGATACGCAGAGTCTAATTCCTGGAGTCGGTGAATGTTACCTTATATGGAAAAAGGGACTTTTCAGGTGGAATTATGTTAAGGATCTTGAGGTAGGGGAATCACCTTGGATTCTCCTGGCGGACCCTAAATGCAGTCACAAATGCGATTGTAAGTGGGAGCCAGAGGGGAGATTTGAAAAGAAAAAATGGCAAGTGAACAACAGAATTAGGGGTGAGATACGGCCATAGCTTAGAAATGTCAGAAGCTGGAAAAGGCAAGGAAGGGATTTTCCCCTAGAGACTCCCCAAGAAAACAGCCCTGCTGATGCCTTGATTTTAGTGCCCTAAGACTCATTTTGGACATCTGGCCTCCAGATCTGTAGCAGACTAAATTACCGTTGTTTTAGCTACTAAATTAGTGGTCAGTTGTTACAGCAGCAATAGAAAAGGCATACATCCTGCCAGCTAGTAAGCTCAACAAATGCCTTGAGTGCCCAGAGTACGCTGGGCGGGCCCTACCCTTGAGGAGCTTATACCCTAGAAGGAGAGGACAAAATGATCATGACAGTGTAACATGACCGAAATGATCAAAGCAACAGGAATAAGCCGCCAGGGACCGTAGGAACATACCTGAGGAATTCCTTTTTTTTTTGAGATGGAGTTTTACTCTTGTTTTCCAGGCTGGAGTGCAATGGTGTGATCTCGGCTCACTGCAACCTCCACCTCCGGGGTTCAAGCGATTCTCCTGCCTCAGCCTCCCCAGTAGCTGGGATTATAGGCATGCCCCACCACGACCAGCTAATTTTGTATTTTTAGTAGAGGCAGGGTTTCACCATGTTGGCCAGGCTGGTCTCAAACTCCTGACCTCAGGTGATCCACCTGTCTCGGCCTCCCAAGGTGCTGGGATTACAGGCATGAGCCTCTGTGCCCGGCCTACCTGAGGAATTTCTAACCCAGGACTGGGGATTTCCAGAAGGTGCTGGTTTCCAGCTTTATTTATAGGAAACATGCAAGCATCCCTCTCTGCTAAGCAGCAAAACTCTGCCACAGCCTCGAGAGTGCCAAGGCCAAGAGATGTGGTGTGTGTGCAGGGGAAGGTGGAAGTCGGGGGAGGCAGCGGGGAGGAAGGGAGGCTCCTCACCTTGCCTGCTGGATGAACTGTGTTGCTTTCTCAGCATACTTCTGGGCAAGGCTGCTCAAGTTCACTGGCTGCTCCACAATGTTGAGGTTTTCATAGAGAGGGAGGGCCACGTCAGTGTAACAGTCTCTTTGAAGGTTCCTGCATGGAAACCACAGACCGTATTCATTTCCTACGTACTCATGGAGGAAAACGAAATGCCTTAATGCAACAATACAAATGCACATAAATACAACACTCTGGCCACAAATGATTTTTCTGGTTGGCCATTTCCTCCCAGTGTAAAAGTCTATGTATAATACTTTCTTCCATTCCCTTTGAATAGATGTTTATGCTCCTTGGATAAGCTGATCCCTCTGTAAAGCTTACAGAGATTCTCATGAGCTAGGGACATTATTTTTTATTATTCCCATTTTGCAGAAAGAGAAACTGAGGTCTGAAGAGGCTAAATTATGTCAAGCAGAGTCCCACAGCCAATCAACAGCCCCATTGCTGGCTTTCTCTGCTGTCTCACTTCAATCTCAGCCTCTGCGTATGGTGTGCAATTTGGCATATTCTGAAGTCCATAATCGGGACTTCATGTAATATCAGGTATGAAAATAGGACAGAATATATAAGGCTGGGCTTGGTGGCTCACATCTGTGATCCCAGCACTTTGAGAGGCCAAGGCTGGCAGATCACTTGAGGTCAGGAGTTTGAGACCAGCCTGCCAACATGGTAAAACCCTGTCTCTACTAAAAATACAAAAATTAGCCAGGTATGGTGATGCGCGCCTGTAATCCCAGCTGCTCGAGAGGCTGAGGCAGTAGAATCATTTGAACCCAGGAGTCAGAGGTTGCAGTGAGCCGAGACTGCGCCATTGCACTCCAGCCTGGGTGACAGAGCGAGACTCCGTCTCAAAGAAAGAAAAAAAGGAGCAAACAAACAAACAAAATCAATCTCAGGATTTGGTCTTATAGATTGAAATGAATCTGAGCCACGGCTGCCCATCAATGTGGCTGAGTCATGGTCTGGTCATGATCTCTGGCAAGTTACTTAAACTCCCAGAGTTATCTCCTTATCTGTAGCATGGGGTGGCCTGTGCCATCCTTACAGGGGTGCTGGTGGTCTAAAAGAGATAATGAATGGTTAGTGCATTGCACACAGCTTCAGTGTATTAGGAATTAAAAAAAAAAACAAACAACTCAAGCTCTCAGTCCTGGTCACCAAAGAAAACGAAGAAAGAAGCTGGGAGCAACGGAGATAGAACGGGTAGTAAATGGAATCCTCTTAGGCAAATACATGGTTCTAATAGTGCCGGGAAGGATCTGTGAAGAAATCAAAAATCCCCTTCACACCTACATGCACATATACCCCATTATAGAAATATAGGAGATATGGTCAGACTGCGTACAGAATTGTCAAAAACCACAATTTTTTTTTTTTTTTTTGACACAGGGTCTCACTTTGTCACCCAGGCTGAAGTGCAGTGGCACAATCTCAGCTCACTGTAGCCTCAAACTCCTGGGCTCAGGTAATCCTCCCATCTCAGCCTCATGAGTAGCTGGGACTATAGGTGTGTGTTGCCGTGTTTGGCTAATTTTTGTATTTTTTGTAGAGATGGAGTTTTGCCATGGCCAGGCTGGTCTCAAACTCCTGAGCTCAAATGATCCGCCCACCTGGGCTTCCCAAAGTGCTGGGATTACAGGCATCATGAATTTTTTAAAAGAGGAAAAGAATTATCACCATGCTGGGCATTATAACACTAATCCCCTATCTATGTTGAATTTTTCAGCTTTTTATTAAATCATTGCATCTCCATGAGTCATTTACATTCTTTCCTTTTTTTTTTTTTTTTTTTTTTTTTGTCTCCGAAGCCACTCATTATTTTCTGTTTCTTTTCTTTTTTTTTTTTTTTTCTTTTTTGAAACAGGATCTGGCTCTGTCACCCAGGCTGGAGTGCAGTGACATGATCTCAGCTCACCGCCACCTCCCCTCAAGCTATCCTCCCACATCAGTCTCCTGTGTAGCTGGAACTACAGGCACAGGCTACCATACCTGGCTAATTTTTTTATTTTCTGCAGAGATGGGGTTTTGCTGTGTTGACCAAGCTGGTCTCAAACTCCTGGGCTCACACGGTCTACCCACCTCAGCCTCCCAAAGTGCTGGGATTACAGAAGTGACCTACTGAACCTGGCCTTCTATTGGATTTTTTTTTTTTTTCAGCAACATTAGGGAGGATTCATACTCATGGATTTTTAACATAGATTAAAAAGAGATTTTTAACATGGATTAAAAATTAAGGCTGGGCGCGGTAGCTCATGCCTGTAATCCCAACACTTTAGATCTACTAATCTCGTGATCCACCTGCCTCAGCCTCCCAAAGTGCTGGGATTACAAGCATGAGCCACCCGTGCCCAGCCCTGTTTTTGTTTTTTTGTTTTTTTTAATTTTTAATTTATTTTTTGAGACTGGATCTTACTCTATGGCCCAGGCTGAAGTGCAGTGGTGTGATCATAGCTCACTGCAGGCGTGAGTCTTGTTAAAAGGCAGGCCTGGGGGTGGGGTGTGAATTTGTCCATTTCTAACAAGCATGTAGGTGATATCCATCATGCAGGTTCAGCGACCACATTATGAGTAGCAAAGATAGAAAGGGCATGGGCTCTGGACTCAGAGAAACCCAGATTGGAATCTCCATTCCCACCTCTTACCAGCTCTACCGTATCCTGGGCAACAAAATCAGGCATCAGGTTGGTGCAAAAGTAATTGAGGTTGTTGCCATTGAAAGTAATGGCAAAAACCACAATTACTTTTGTACCAACCTAAGAAATACCTACCTCACACAGTGGTCATATGGATTACAGATAAATATGGACAGTGCTTAGAATGTAACAATTTCTCCATAAGCAACCATTATTATATTAACTATTGTTTTATAGATAGAGCAGCTGAGACTCACCTTTCCCGAGTGGCTCAGACACCTGTGGCCTTAGAAATGACCACAGTGTACTGTCTGAATAAGGGGAACATGTGGTTTGTGCTGTTTTATTACCTAAGTAAGGCTTATCATCTTTTTGTGATCATAAATATATCACAAAATATTTAGAAAATACAATGAGAAATAAGAAAATGAAAACCCTGGCTGGGCACGGTGGCTCATACCTGTAATCCCAGCACTTTGGGAGGCCGAGGCATGCAGATCACCTAAGGTCAGGAGTTCAAGACCAGCTTGGCCAACATGGTACTAAAAATACAAAAATTACCCAGGTGTGGTAGCAAGCGCCTTGCAGTCCCAGCTACCCAAGAGGCTGAGGCAGGAGAATCGCGTGAACCCGGCAGGCAGAGGTTGCAGTGAGCAGAGAGATCGCAGCACTGCACTCCAGCCTGGGTGACAGAGTAAGACTTAGTCTCAAAAAAACAAAAAAGAAAAAAAATGAAAACCCTAAGTCCCAGGACCAGAGAGTTCCCTTGATAACATTTCAGCATAACTCCCTTGAGTCTCTGTTGATAGGACTACAAAGATAGGGCTACAGAGGCCATTAAGATCTTACTATTGATGACCTGCTTCCTGCTTTTTTTTTTTTTTTTTCACTTACTATTATAACATGAACACTTTCCCATGTCATTAAATGTTTTTCAAAACATCCTGTTTGGTGCCTGCTTGGTATTCCAGTATCAGAATGCTGGCTTACTTGTCCACAGTGGGAGAAGCTCAAAAGGGGTCCTGTGCACTTTTTTTTTCTCTCTCTCTCTATCTCTCCTTATGTTCAGTGTCTGGGCTAGAAGCAAAGCCAGCAGGCAGAGGAGGAGGGAGGGAGGCCCCACATGTGAGACCCTGGCAGCACAAGGCTCTCCCCAGCTGAGCTCAACAATCCAAGGAACCTGGAAAATTTCAATAGAAGAATGTTGTGGACCTCGTCATTGAAAAGTTTCTTACACTCCCTGCAAATAACGCATTTAAATTTGCACAGGATGTACCATCTATCTTATTTGCTGTCTTAACTGTTTCCTGTCTGAATCTTTTATTTATTCCTGATGGACCACAGTCTTGGGATTTTGCCTTGTCTTGAAGCCTATCACAAATGTGTCAGACAGCATTACCTTGATGGTCCATCACCCTGTGGACACGCTGGACAAGGAGGGTGGTTGTATCCTGGAGTATCAGTACAGCCCATATCATGGCTATACGGGATTCCAAAGTAGTAATCAAAACCTGGAATAGAAGCAAGTGGTAAGCATCCCCACGTGGCCGTGACTCCATGTGCTTGCTTTCGTATACCCACGGCAAAAATTTAATTTCCTATGATTTAATATTGCAGTGCTAGAGAGTATGTAATTAAAAGAGGATTTGATTAATATCCCTTTGTAGTATGCACAGAAAATCACTTTGCTGGGTTCTGGCTGTTAGACTAGATTTGCAAAACATCTTGTGATTAGAATTAACCCAGTTTGGGAGGAAGTGGAGAGAATTATTACACATCTAACACCTTCAGTGAAATTATGGACATACTCAGTATTGGGTGAAAACCTACTACACACATGACACATTAAGGGATAAAAAATAAATAAATAAACTGTTCTTAGCTGCTACAACTACAGAGAAAAAAATTATAAAACTTTTTTCAGAAAGAATAAATTCTGTCCTCAAGAGATGTTTCATGTCAAGAGAAAATAAGATATAAAGATTAAGCAATAAAAGATGAATAGATGAGCCAACAAGAGTGATCAGAGGAAGTTACCCCCAAATGGTAATGGGGGTAGGGGCAGGAATCCCAAAATTCTCTTTGAAAGATACTGCTTTTCAGCTGGGACTCAAAAGACTGGCAGAATTTGGGCTTGGAGTGGAGGAGTGAAGGTGAAGGATGGAAGGGTGTGAGCATTGAGACCCAAAGTCTTTGTGTTGAAGTTTTTTTTCTGAGTTCCTCCTTCATTCTATCCCTTCTCCAACCCAAGCTTTTAATCAAAGGCTATAGCTACGTATGCAACTAGAATGCACAAATTCTCCAGAAAAAGGAAACCTTCCCCAGCTGCCCAGGTAACTGCTTCGGCTCTCTTTATTTCTCTAGAGGGAGATGGAACTCAAATCTCACAAATAATTGCTATTTCTCATTAGCCTCAAATTCCAGGCCCAGGAACAGAGACAGCTGGGTTTTCAGCTTCAACTTCTACCCCTCCAAATGCCTCTTGGCCCTCTCTATAACCACACATCCTAAACACAAAGTAAGTTCCCTTCAGTTCCCCATGAGCCTCATGCCTTGGGGCCTCGGTGGCTTTGCCTGGAATTCTCTGCTCTGTGTCTCTCACAGGTGAAACTGCATTAGCACTTCCCAGCCCAGTTTTAGTGGGACGTTTCCTATAGAACTTCCCTGCTCCTCACTGCATCCCACCTGTCACGACCCTGCGTTCAACTCATTCTCCTTGTGTAGCCTAAGACTTTCTATCATCTGGGTAATACCGCCTTCCCCATTAGTGATGCACCCCTTCAGTTACACATTACATCTTTGCCAACCCAATACGTGGAGTATGTAGGATAACTAGTAAATGTACGTAGTTTTTTTTTTTTTTTTTCTTTTTGAGACAGATTCTCACTGTCTTCCAGGCTGAAGTACAGTGGCATGATCTCAGTTCACTGCAATCTCCACCTCCTGAGTTCAAACAATTCTCATGCCTCAGCCTCCCAAATAGCTGGAACTACAGACACCCGTCACGACACCCAGCTAATTTTTTTGTATCTGCGTAGAGACAGGGTTTCAGCATGTTGGCCAGGCTAGTCTCAAACTCCTGACCTCAAGTGATCCGCCCGCTTTGGACTCCCAAAGTGCTAGGATGAGAGGCGTGAGCCACCACGCCCCGCCTGTTTGTTGTATTTTTAAAAAATTGAAACCTTCATGCTAACTTGGTTTGTACAAATGGATTTGGCTACCCCCTAGGTACACAATGTGGCTCTGAAATGTCATTGCATCCAGTATCAGGATGAGTCTCCACGAGGGACAGCAAACTTTTTCTGGAATAGGCCAAATAGGAAACATCTTAGGTTTTGCGGGTCAGATGGTCTCTGTTAAGGCCACTCAACTCTTTTATTTCTTCTTCTTCTTCTTCTTTATTTTTTATTTGAGACAGAGTTTCAGTTTTGTCACCCAGGTTGGAGTGCAGTGGCACGATCTCAGCTTGCTGCAACCTCCACCTCCTGAGTTCAAGCGATTCTCCTGCCTCAGCCTCCCAAGTAGCTGGGATTACAGGCATGTACCACCATCCCAGCTAATTTTGTATTTTTTTAGTAGAGACAGGGGTTCACCATGTTGGCCAGGCTTGTCTCGAACTCCTGACCTCAGGTGAGCCACCCTCCTCAGCCTCCCAAAATGCTGGGATTACAGGCATGAGCCACTATGCCCAGCCTGGCTGTTTTCTAACAAAATTTTGTTTACAAAACCAGGCAGCATACTGGATTTGGACTACAGGTCTATGCCAGCCACTGAGCTAGATCACAGACATCCTCATACCCCAGTGTTAGAAAGGCCTCGCTGTGTTTGCAGAAGCCCTGACCTGAGAAATAGCCCAGGGCAGCAAGAGGAGCCTGGGTGCTTAGAAGGAACGTGTGAGTGCACTCGGCATGACCCAGGGCATGTGCGAAGGGGAAGCCAGCAAGCTGATGAGAACCAGGACAGGGCGCCACAGAGAAGATGTAAGAGGTAGGAGGGAAGAGGAGTGAACTTGGACATGAGCACGAGGAAACCTCAGAATGTCCATGCCAGAGGGCTTTTTGGAACTGCCTGGTCTAAAGACAGCAAATAGATAGGAGATACTCTTTCTTCCCACTTCCTGCACCCACAGCAGACACCAGGTCCTTCATGGCACCATTTCCTGCTGCACAGGAGCTGGTCTCAGTATCCCCTCAGCACAGGAATATGCCCTCTAGGTGCCAATACCTGATCTTGTCCAACCCCTCAATTGCCAAGTGAGAAAACTGAAGACCAAGGAGGAAATAAGTTATGGAGAAATGTTTAGTGAGTGCAAAAGCCAGGTCTTCACTGCCCCCATCTGCATTTTTTTAAAAGCATATACGGACGATGCCATGAATGCCCAACTGGGAAAAGGGGCTCTAGGGAGGAGAGGCAGAAGAATGGGCATCGAAGGGGTGGTAAGCACTGAAGAAGATGTCAGCCAGTGGGGCTACTGACCACTGGGGCCCCTGCTGAAGGTAAGCTCCAGGCCAACCCTCTGAAAATCATTCACCAAATGCAAAAACCTTCAGATGCAAACCTTCCACCAGGTCTAGGGCAGAACAATTCAGCCATTTTCCACAGTGATCGGGAGAGATATTGGGGCCAGGGAGGGGAGAAGTCTGCAAAACAGGCAGCCCAGGGTGCAGAAGCACATTTGCTTATAAAACGGCAGGAGAGGAAGGGGACCCAGTGTAGGGCCAGGGACAGAAGAAGTCACCAAAGCTGACTGCCTTTAGGAGAAAGTCCATGGCTTCCCATAGGAAATGGAAGAGGTCAGGGAAAGAGCAGTGGCACGAATTGCAACTTTGAAAAACCATCAATAATTTAGTGAATTGAACATTTGGAGAATCCGCCCTTCGGCAAAGTGATTTTCAGAGAATCGGCTTTGGCAGCTTGATCTTGGCCTACTTCCCCAAGGCCAGAGGGTGAGGAAGCAAAGGCTGCAAGAAGAGGCCAAGAGGCAGCATCTCCTGTTTGGGTCTCTGGCCAGGTTTCCTGCTTCAGTGAACCCATCAGTCAGTTTACACTTCTTCCCAGATTAGCCAAGTCTGGACCTCATGGGGCAGAAAGCTCCCTGAGGCATAAAGAACCGGGAGATGGCAAAAAAGCTGATGGGCCTGTGATGGGGCAGCTGGAAGGGCAAACAGGCACCAAGGAAGCGGAGCCAGGGAAGGTGCCACCAAGACGGGTGTAAGGTCCTAGGGGAGCCCTGGCACCCCAAATGCACCCAAATGACCTTGTTAACAAAGATGTCCTAACTCAAGGTTGCCCCCAGAGACAGGGTGGCTTAGCTGTTCATGGAATCTCACACAGAGACCTTTATTTTCCGTTTCCCAGGTAACAAATCTCCAAAAGAATTCTTACCACGGAAGTTGGGGTGATATGAGCCGTGGTGCCCAAGATGCCATTTGCCTGTAGGAAAACAAAAGAGAGATTTTCAGAGGAATCCCTCTAGGGGTACCACGACCCCCTGAGGAGCTGATCACACACTCAACTCTTCATCGGCTTTGCCTTGTGCTGTGGACAAGCAAAGAGAGTCTGCAATGCGGTATACAAGCCAGGCTTTGCTCTCTGGGGCTGAGATGGCGTCCACAGGGACTCATAAAGGATGACTCCAGACTCACACAGGAAACCACAGTGAAAGGGGAAGACGGGCCATCACCAGGAGCCCAGAGAAGCCGGCAGGCTGCGCCTCTGCCCCTCAAAGAGGGCTCCGCAGACACAGCAACCCCGCATGGGCCATCACCCCCTCCACTTTGCCTGCCTGTACTGGGGTGCTGCAAAGGCACCAGGCAGCCCAGGGTGCAGGTGCACCTCCCCACGTGGTCTCAGAAATGCTCGCTTCCTGCCTGGTTTCATCATCTTCCTCTCTGGCCAACATCAGCAGCCCGCAGTTCAAGCACCGAGACACCTACAGGGCAGCAAATGAGGAAACTCAGATGCCTGCTGCTCCTCGGTCTGCAACTGCGTTCAATCCAGGGGAATAATTGGGCAATGTGTGGCCAGAGCTCTGACAGTGTCAGAACTCTCTGATCTGCTCTTCCGCTCTGAGGAGCAGACCCCAGGGACGTCACCCCCATGGTGAGGGGGCAAAGAAAAGAATGTGGTACAAAGATTGAGATGCCAGCAGCATTAAACCACTCAAAGGAGAGAGACTGACAGGCAACCACAGGAGTATGCCTAAGTACATTATTTGATGTGGCCTCATAAGATATTATCAAACTATTTTTCAAGACAAATGCATGGAGCAAAAATTAAGAATCGGTGAAGCTGGACGAAAAGCCCATGGGAGCCCATTATCCCCTCCTTGCAACTGCTCTATAGGATTGAGAAAAAGATTAATAAAAAATGGAGAGAAATGGGCTGTCAATTGAGTGTCTCACGCCTGTAATCCCAGCACTTTGGGAGACCGAGGCAGGCAGATCACATGAGGCCAAGAGTTTGTGACTAGTCTGGGCAACGTGGCAAAACCCCATCTCTACTAAAAATACAAAACTTAGCAAGGTATGGTGGTGCACATCTGTCATCCTGACTACTCGGGAGGCTGAGGAAGGAGAATCACTTGAACCCAGGAGGTGGAGGCTGCAGTGAGCAAGATCATACTACTGCGCTCCTGCCTGGGCAACAGAGTGAGACTTTATCTCAAACAAACAAACAAACAAGTTGAGAGAAATGGATTAAGCATTATGTGGAATACTTTGATTAAACATTACATGGGAATATGACATATTAAAATAATGAAAATTATTGTTTAATCATAAAAATTATAATATGTAAAATTATGTTACATGGAAACATAGAATAACGTGAAGGGGGAAAAAGTGGAGCCCAGTGATATGCGCATAACCAGGCAAAAAACACATAAACAAGAACCAAGATTAGAAGCAAAGTGTGACGCTGGGGGCAGTGGCTCACGCCTATAATCCCAGCACTTTGGGAGGCTGAGGCGGGTGGATCACGAGGTCAGGAGTTCAAGACCAGCCTGGGCAACATGGTGAAACCTTATCTCTACTAAAAATATAAAAATAGCCAGGTGTGGTGGCACGTACCTGTAATCCCAGCTACTCAGGAAGCTGAGCAGAAGGATCACTTGAACCCAGGAAGCAGAGGTTGCAGTGAGCTGAGATCACACCACTGCACTCCAGCCTAGGTGACAAAATGAGACTCCGACTCAAAAAAAAAAAAAACAGTGGGAGTGTTGTAAATGGATCTTATATTCCTTTGATGGGTCTTTAATTTTTTCATAAAAGTGTGCTTTATTTCATAATTTCAACAGGTGGGTATGCTTAAATATCCAGTCCAAGACATGCAAAAGGTATCGTGAGTGGTAAGGGGTAAGGAACGGCAGCTAAACAGTCAAGCTGCAAACAATTGGTTACTTAGAGTTTAAATTCATGAAGAGGGAGGGGCATGAGAACAAATCCAGCTCCAGGAGAAGCCAGGCCCCCTACTGCAGTGTAAGGACTGAGTCTGGGACTGCCCTGGGACCAAACCCTTCCTGGCTATGAGGTTTTTTATTTATTTATTTATGTTTAGATACAGGGTCTCACTATGGCCCAGGTGGGTCTCAAACTCCTGGGCTTAAGGGATCCTCCCGCCTCAGCCTCTTTAAGTGCTGGGATTACAGGTGTGAGCCACCTCGTTCAGCCGGCTGTGAGGTTTACACGGACACATGTAACTGGCCTAGTTGGGAAAGTCAGCCCACAGTGGGAGTTTCACAAATGGTGTCTTGGTGTTGATGTTGTTAACATAATGACTCCTTGGGGTATGGAAAGAAAGGGATTGGAAAAAGAGAAGGTTTGGACCTTAATTGGTCTCTCCTACAGCCTGGGACATCCCCTCCTGAGATAAGGAATGCTGTACTCCAGGTTGAGCATCCGTAGAAGGATGTCGGGCTCTTTAGCCCAGAGTGGGACAAGAGGGCCAATACCAGACGCACCAGCCCTGGGTGGAATAACCTCCTACAGGTTCACATGGTTCAGACACCGAAGACACACAAGGGCCAACCACTTGTGGTCGCACCCTCCCTTGCTATTTCCTGTATGGTGGAGAGAGGCAGGGATCCCAAAGGGTCCAGCTCTTTGAGAGTTAGGCTAACAAACGCAGGCAGCTGAGGATGCTTCTGGGAATACTGGGTTGTCTTGGTTCCTGGAGGGGAGATCGGCAGTGAGGCAGAGCATCAGAGCAAGGCTGGGAACAGATCTACCTGTCTAGACCTGGCCTCCACCATTCCAGATTAGACAACGTCTCTTCACCAGCCTGAAACTCAGTTCTCTTGCCAATACAATGGGAGAAATAATAATCTTCACACCAATAAACATTTAACCCAGTGCCTAGCACATCATAAATGCTGAGTAAGAGATGCCTTAAAAAAAAAAACTGTTTTAAAGGAGAGGAAGTCATTGGACAATGTGGCAGATGCTGCTGGTCTCCCACCAATGCCCATGCCCCATGTATCCTGCTAATAAAACTGTGGCATTGTTCAAAGTGTGGAAGATTAGCATGCCCAAGTTCAAGTCAGTCACTGCTGTCCCCAGTTTTTCAATCTGGGAGTGCAGCAGCGAGGTGTGGCCAAAAGACCCAGCTCTAGCCAATAAGATGTAAGTGCAAATCTTGGGGTGGGATTGGAGCTGAGCCTCCTCCCTTCTCTTCTTCCTTCCTTTAGCCAAATCCTGGTTCAGGGGCCTGAAGTTGATGAATGGCAGTCATGAGGCAGCAAGCATGAGAACAAACACCAAACACCAACATGCTAAGGATGGCAGAGTGACAGCACCTGGCTCCCGGCAGCATCTTTGAGCAACTGAGCTAATGAAAGCAACCACTTACTTGGAAACTTGCTGTGATGGAAGGAAAATAGCTCCATGCATGTTTTAATCCACTGTTAGGTCTTTTCAGTTCTCATAGCTGAGAGCATCTCTAACTCATACAGCAGACATGAACAGGAAAGCAGACAGGCAGCATGTTGGGGATTTGCAAACACAAGGCAGCTGCCACTGCAGGAAATGCAACAGGCTGACGAAGCCCAGAATTACCTATCATCCCAGTGACGTAACCTGCCTGCTGCAGCACCTCGGCCAAGGTGGTCTCGTTGAGTGGAAGGCCTCCCACAGAGGTGACTGCAAAGTTGTGCGTGACTCCATTGCGAAGGCCAAGCCGGCCAGTGAGCAAGGAAGCCCGGGAGGGCGAGCAGGTGGAGGCAGCTGCATGGAAATCCACAAACCTACACGGAAAGGAACAGTGGTCAGTTCCACACCAATCACAGGAGGCGAGAGCAAGAGAAAAGGCAATGCCCATGCAGTTCCTGGGATGCCAGTGCTCAAAGATCAAAGATCACCCAGTCATGGGAGAGGTCAGAAAATGGGATTTCTGGCCGTGCGTGGTGGCTCACACCTGTAATCCCAGCACTTTGAGAGGCCGAGGTGGGAGGATCACCTGAGGTCAGGAGTTCAAGACCAGCCTGTCCAACATGGTGAAACCCCATCTCTACTAAAAATATAAAAATTAGCTGGGCATAGCGGCCCATGCCTGTAATCCCAGCTACTCAGGAGGCTGAGGCAGGAGAATCGCTTGAACCTGGGAAGCAGAGGTTGTGGTAAGTCAAGATTGCACCACTGCACTCCAGCCTGGGTGACAGAACAAAAAACAAAAAAAAAAAAAAAAAAAAAGGAAATAGGATTTCTGGGTTTCAGGAAAATGAAACCCAGAGAAGTAACACAAGTAGTCCAGGATTATACAACCCATTCAAATGGATATAATCCAACGAATTCAGTCAATCTTATTTATTCAAAGGTTCCACATTTCCAGTGTGCCTACTTACTAACGTAGTAGTTTTTTAATCCCAAAATCAAGACTTGAGGCCATTTAGGATCATTCACGGATATGGGCAGACCTGCAAAAAGTTTGTGTTGCTTTGATGCACACGTTCTCAGTAGACACTGAACAAGGTGACCCTCTCCCTTCTGGTTTCAGCTCTCATATCATGCTGTAAACAAATGTCCACACAGTCTATTTAGAGCCACGGCTTTGCATTTTTGTGTTTCATGTCAGTGGTTTCACTGTGGAAAATGGCCCCCAGATGTAGTGCCTAAGTGCTGTGCAGTGTTCCTAAGCACTCAAAGGCTTTGATGAGCCTTACAGAGAAAATGTATGTGTTAAGGCCAGGCACCATGGCTCGTGCCTGTAATCTCAGCACTTTGGGTGGCCGAGGTGGGTGGATCACTTGAGGTCAGTAGTTCGAGACCAGCCTGGCCAACATGGTGAAACCCTGTCTCTACAAAAAACATTTTTAAAAAAAAATTAGCTGGGTATGGTGGTGGGTGCCTATAACCCCAGCTACTCGGGATGCCGAGGCAGAAGAATCGCTTCAACCCAGGAGGCAGAGGCTATGGTGAGCCGAGATCGTGCCACTGCACTCCAGCCTGGGCAACAGAGCAAGATTCCATCTCAAAAAAAAAAATTATATATATATTAAGATGTATTTACACAGAAATATTCACAAAACACAGTTACGTATTAATTTAATTAGTGAATGAAAATTTTGTGACTAGATGCTCACAGGAAGCTAACCCCATATTCTCCCTAGAAGCAAAAGAGTCAGTATTCCTAATTTTCATTACTCACAGTGGCTTTATGGAACATTATCAATAACCAGAATCCACTGAGGTCTGGCATGGTGGCTCACTCCTTTAATCCCAGCACTTTGGGAGGCTAAGGTGGGTGGGTCCCCTGAGGTCAGGAGTCCGAGACCAGCCTGGCCAACGTGGTGAAGCCCCGTCTCTACTAAAAATACAAAAATTAGCCAGGCATGGTGGTGCACACCTATAATCCCAGCTACTCAGGAGGCTGAGGCAGGAGAATCACTTGAACCCAGGGGTCAGAGGTTGCAGTAAGCCAAGATCGTGCCACTGTACTCCAGTCTGAGCAACAGAGGAAGAGTCTGTGTCAAAAATTTTTTTAAAAGAATTGACTGAATCTATTACCTATTACTGTATTCCCAGGCTTTTTTTAGACATTGTGGAGAAATACAAAAGAAGTCTAACCATTATCCCACTCTCAAGGAACAGGCAGAAACAAGACACTGAGAGATAAGACATAAGCAAATTTAAATCACAACAATGCACAATGGTATATAATGAAGACCCCCAAATAGATGGATAGAGCGCAGGGAATGGAAATCAGGAATGCTCTAGGATTGAGAAAAGGAGAGAGAACTTGATGATGGTCCAAGGATTAGAGAAATCGCTACAGAGGAAGTGGCACAGGGGTTGGAATCAATCGAAAAGATGGGAGTGTTATGAACACTTCAAAAATCACAAGGACAAGCATTCCTGGTGGAGGAACAGCAGAATATTCTTATTTTTGCAAAAGGAAACACTGAAAGGATACACTAGAAGCTAATGAAAGAATGATTTCTCAAAAAGGGAGGGAGAAACGGTACGTGGAGGGGGAAAGCAAGATTCTCTGGAATATGTTGTTAAACAGTTTGACTTTTGCACCTTGTAAATGTTTGATATGGTCAAAAAGTACAATTAAATCACAAGGGGAAAAAAAGCAGACCCTATAATTAAAAAATGAACAAAACACTGAAACAAACAAATCCAACCATATAACAAACAGGAATATGACCACACAGAGGAAAAATTCATTTCAAGTAATATTAGCACCCAGTGTTCTGGCTGTCCAACATTAGTGCGATATAATGTAAGGACAAAGAGAACCACAAAAAAAAAAAAAAAAAATTAAAATTTTTCCAAAAGCTGTTCCATTGGTAGCAACATTGGGTTCAGGATTTTCAAACTATTTTACATGACATGGTAGAGTAAAGCAAACAAGTGATTATATTAATGTTCCTAATCAGTAACCAAGATTTCCAGTGCAAAAGGTAAAGATAGAAAATAAAAGAAGATAATAAAAAACCTGTAATGTTAAAATTAATATAGAAGTCATTATGAACTCATGATTTTTAAAAATATATATTTCCTAGCTACTATCTGCCGAAAGGGCCTAGTATCATTGACACCCCGGTAGCAATGAGCATGCGACACCCCTATCATTGCTTTAAAAGGAACGATACCTTACACCATCCTGCAATAAAAGGAATCGGATCTCCTTGGAGAAATGGTTAATTCCAGATTTGAGGAATAAGTACCAGGGGAGCCTGGGACATCTGCGTGTACCAGGAAGCAAAGCCCCAAGAGCCAGCTTCGAGGGGCTCCTGCTGGCCAAACTTGGGACAATGTGGGCATCAAAAAGAACAATTAGGCCTGGCGTGGTAGCTCACACCTGTGATCCCAGCACTTTGGGAGGCTGAGGCAGATGGATCACTTAAGGCCAGGACTTTGAGACCAGCCTGGCCAACATGTCGAAATGCTGTCTGTGCTAAAACTACAAAAAATCAGCGGGACATGGTGGCACACGCCTGTAATTCCAGCTACTCAGGAGGCTGAAGCACGAGAAGCTCTTGAACCTGGGAGGCAGAGGTTGCAGTGAGGTGAGATCGCACCACTGTGCTCTAGCCTGGGAGACAGAGGGAGACTCAGTCTCAAAAAAAAAAGAATTAGTGTAATTGATTGTAAGCAATGAATAAATAAAAATCCATTAGTCCATACTGACACTCAGAAAAATTCATTTGCCATTAGAAAAGAATGTTATGCCAACTCCACACCCTAAAAATTCGTAATTAAACATTTGTCTTGACACTTTAGAATGGCCACACTCATCACTAGGTGATGAGGGAAAGCACTCCTTTACAGAAGCATGGCAGGCAGCTGGACGCAGAGAAGGGATGGCAGCCTTAGGAAATCACCATTTTTGCAACTCCACCTCCACCTCACCCAACCCAACCTCATCTATTTTTTTCTCTTTTGGGGCAGCCAAGCCCACCCATCCCCCAGCTAATAACTGATGATCAGTGGGTGTGTCGGGAGCGCTTGTTCACAGTGTCAGCCTCGGAGCGTCATAAATTGGACAGAGCTGGCGATCCCCACCTTACAAAATGATTAAGTTTAGTGTCACGCACATCAGGTACCCTGACCTTGTACATCTCCTGATGCGTTGCAAGATGAAGTTTATAAAACCAAGGATTCTTGCCAAAAGCATTTACTCTGAAACTAATCAAACTTCTAGATCTAATTTCCAGGTTACAGGAAACAGAGCTTCATAGAAAAACAAATTAAATGACACCGCAAGGAAATAATTTAACAAACCAGTATCTAGATATTCTACAAGACAACGGGTCTAGTCTCTTCAAGAAGTCAGTATCGGGCCGGGCGCGGTGGCTCAAGCCTGTAATCCCAGCACTTTGGGAGGCCGAGGCCAGTGGATCACGAGGTCAAGAGATCGAGACCATCCTGGTCAACACGGTGAAACTCCATCTCTACTAAAAATACAAAAAATTAGCTGGGCATGGTGGCACGTGCCTGTAATCCCAGCTACTCAGGAGGCTGAGGCAGAATTGCCTGAACCCAGGAGGCAGAGGTTGCGGTGAGCCGAGATCGCACCATTGTACTCCAGCCTGGGTAACAAGAGCGAAACTCCGTCCCCCCCCCAAAAAAAAGAAGTCAGTATCATGGGATAAAATGGGATTGGGGTGGGTAGTAACTCATATTAAAGGACATGAAAGGACAAAACCACATGGAATATGTGATCCTTGACTGGCCAGCAATTCAAATAAACTGACAGCACATTTGGGGCTATTTAAGGGGATTTTAACACAGACCCAATGTAAGATATCAGGGAATTTTTGTTCATTTTCTGTGTATAATCATATTATTATAGGTATATGGGAGAATATTCTTCCTCTATTTTATTTTATTTATTTATTTTGAGACAGAGTCTCGCTCTGTCACCCAGGCTGGAGTACAGTGGCACGATCTCCACTCCCTGCAACCTCCCCCTCCCAGGTTCAAGCAATTCTCCTGCCTCAGCTTCCAGAGTAGCTGGGATTACAGGCGTTCACCACCATCCCCAGCTAATTTTTGTATTTTTAGTAGAGACTTGGTTTCACCATGTTGGTCAGGCTGGACTCGGACTCCTGACCTCAGGTGATCCACCTGCCTCATCCTCCCAAAGTGCTGAGATTACAGGCATGAGCCACCACGCCTGGCCCCTCTTTTTTATTTTTAATCTTTTTTCTTTTTTTTTTAATTATAGAGATGAAGTCTCACTACATTACCCAGGCTGGTGTCAAACTCCTGAGCTCAAGCAATCTCTCGCCTTGGC